CCCCCCCCCCCCCAAGACATGTTTTTTTCATTCTTTTCAGTTAGGTTAGAAGCCAGGTCACTAATACTCATATCTAACATGTAAAATTCATGTTATATTAAATTGTGAGTTTTATTTCATCATGGAGAAAGTGGGTTCACTTCAATCAGCTAAATTGATTATGCTACATTACACTGTTGGATGTACATTATTTGGGTATTTTTATAATTTTATTGTTACTTGTTCTACAGCGGAAAAAATGCTGATCTGGCTCCTACTTTTGCAGGTGATTTACTCAAGCTTTTAGATATTTCCTCTGCTGAAAATATCTTGCTAACTACCTATGGCAAGTTACAACCACCACTTGGTAAACATCGCTTAAAGGTAAACTAGTTATTTGAAATTGTTGCATTTGTCTATTTGTATGACTTTGATAGTAAATTGGTATTGTGTTTAGAACAATTGCCTTTTTAATGTTTGGTGCTCATGATCTTGGATGATGTCAAAACGTAATATTGCAGCTTTGCCATAATATTAACTGAACATATATTCTTTCAGATTGTAGAGTTTATATCAGTTTTAGTAACTGTTGGTGGTGAAGCTGCTGAGAAGAAATTGATTGATCTTGGAGCAGTACAGAGAATTATACACTTGTTCTTTGAGTAAGTTTAGTAATAGCAATACTGTTATTTTGTGCCATGTCATTTGATCTTATGCCTTGCTACAATGTTTGAATGTGGTAGGTACCCATACAATAACTTTCTGCATCACCATGTGGAAAGCATTATAATATCTTGCTTTGAGAGCAAGAATTCTTCTCTTTTGGAACATCTTCTCCGTGATTGTGATTTTGTTGGAAAAATTATTAAAGCAGAAAGGCATTCCACATTCCAGGTTGAGCCAAACAAGGTACACAATCTCCCCCCTAAATTTCTATTGCAATCGTGTTTTTTTTTGTCTATGCTTAGATACAACTATTTAATGAAAAGTAAAAAATCTTATGGGATGGATAAATATTTTAACTTTTCAATTTGTTTCTGCAAATTTTCATGCAGCCAGCAATACCTGCTGAGGGTAAATCACCGCCCAGGATAGGATGCATAGGACACTTAACCCGTATATCTAACAAACTTGTCCAGTTAGGGAATAACAACAGTGTGATTCAGGAACATTTGCAGGTCTGTTACTATGTCTCCAGGGAGTTCTGTGGTAGGATTTTTTAGTGTTCAAACTTCTACCATTATGTTATTTGGTATATGTTGATCAATTCTCTTCTTTTCCTATTAGATTTCTGATGTTCTAATATGTACTTGCACAAATTATATTAAATGTTAACTACATAATCTTTAAGCTCATGATCAAACTTCTTAAATTGACAGGGAAATAGTGAATGGACAGATTGGTACCTGAATGTTTTATCAAGTCGCAATGCTGTGGAAAATGTCTATCAATGGGCGTGTGGGTATGTTGCATTTCTTAACTGGCATTGTTTTGTTATATCCCATGGTTGATCTGCATTTCCACTATCTGAATGAGCTGAAATTTAAGATTTTCTGTTTCTTTGAATGACATCATGCTTTTAGAAGTCCCTACTAGAATCCTTGGACATTTTCCTCTTCTTGAACTATAAACTTCAGTGATAGCAACTATTACAACCATTGGAGCATAATATACATTCCTCTATCAAGAAAATGTTTCCATTAGAGGTATAGATCATTGCCTCACTGAACCAAGATAACTTTGAGCTCCAGAATTACCTTCTTCTTGCACTTCTATAATAAAGCCTTTATTGTTAGATTCCATATCAAAACCAATTGACTTCAGTGTAGTTGCGTAACAGATATTTAAGTGCTCTCTAAGAATTGAGGCAAGCAATGTGGGACTCTCCCTTCACAGTTGCCTACCGAAATGGGCTATAAGGCTTTGATACCATGATAGACTCCATTTCAAAACCAATTACTTAAGTGAAGTTGCTCAACAAATATATAAACTGCACTCCAAGAATTGAGGCAAGCGACGTGGGTCTATTCAACACTGATATCTAAAATAATATTCAAATTGAGGAATGATGTATTCCTTCTTACAGAAACAAAATGGGCTGAATAAATGCAAGATGTTTTACTTTGGGACCATGATGTAGAAAAAGACAGTTAACCACAATTGGATATTGATTTTATTGTGATATTTTAGGTAATTTTATGATGATAGAATTATGACAACCTTATCCCACCAGGTTGTAGCGATGATAGAATTAAAGTCCAATTTTTTGATAATTATAAAATAACTGCTATGTGTAGATATTTCCAAACCCTTGTTCTGTGGATAAACCAGAATTTCTACATTTTTTGCTAGAACAATACCATCCCTTTTTAAAGTGACACCAGTGCTGTGCTGATTTGTCGTACACTTGCTGATTTGTCATGTGAAATACATAGTTGGAGCTTGGAGCTTGAGCACAATCTTGATTTGTTATTGTATATCTCTCATTATTTGGGAATGATCATATGTTGATGTAGCTTCAATGTAGGTCATATCACGTGGTTTTTGTTTTCTAAGAGACCCTTGATGATTTTAAATTAATCGATTGTTACAGGAGACCAACAGCATTGCATGACAGAAATAGGGATAGTGACGAGGATGATTATCAAGATCGGGACTATGATGTTGCGGCATTAGCAAATAACTTAAGTCAGGCCTTCCGTTATGGCATTTACAATAACGATGACATGGATGAGGTACAGTCATTTTTAGGGACCACCTGTATGCCTGCAGCTGAATGTGCATTTCATATTGTCTTTTTTTAAAGCTCTGAATGGGAGAGCAGATACATTTGGAAAACCTACAAAGATGATTTCTATGGTGTGTTATATCAGAAGATTTAATTCTTAATATAATGGCTCAGTCGGTGTTCAAAAAAACTTAAAAAATAATATCTGAAAACTTTCATGCCAGCTATTTGAGACAGCCTACAACTCTGAGAAAGTGATTTGCAACAGTCAAGTCCTTTCCGTCCTAGAAAATCAGAGTAGAATGAAATGCATATAGTTTTGCCAGCATTTTTTTTTGAATTTGCTCAACTTTCAGACTCTACTATAGGAATTATGTTACTTGCTGACAGTTAATACAGTCTGTTCTCAAATTCTGTACACCAACTGATCTTTTTTTTTGCCTAATTGCTAATGGGAATTTTGTCCTACAAGTGGCTGATTTGTTCTTTTCTGTGCATTTTACTTGGTGATTGAGCTGAGCGTTACCTATCTCATCAGTCACAACTTTCTTATTATAGAAACATTAATTCCTGATGGCTGATGTCATTTTTAGATGTTAATTACTTGATTACACATGTTCTGTTATATTTATGGTTTGTGATACTACTATTGCTTATCAGATTGTTTCATCAGTAGTTCTATTCATTGGCTCTTGATTCCTGACCTATAATATGTTTGTGTTCAGGTTCATGGTTCTCTTGAACGAGATGACGAGGTATAATATTTTCGTCCGAAATGTTAATCTTTAGTCTTGGAAATGAGTTGAAATGATCAAATGAATGTATATAATTGAATACGTGGAAGTTAATTCTCATATACATTTTCTTATGTAAATAAATTTGCCTAAAAGATGGAATGAGTAATCTCTTGCTTGGGTGTCTTATACTGACTTGATGCCCTGCACCACATATAAAGTTCACCTATCTAGAGGGAGCTTTAGTTGCCTAGTAAATTGATGCTTTCATATATGTCTGCACATGTTTATCTTTCATTTTCATTTTTTTTTTGGTGATTTCTCGTGTTTATGCTTGGATTTGTGGTTGAGATTTGATTTACGATCATTATAAAACATCTGACTTAATATGTTTCTTGCAGGATGTCTATTTTGATGATGAATCTGCAGAAGTTGTTATATCTTCTTTGCGGTTGGGAGATGACCATGAAAGGTAAATGGTGTGCCTTTGTTGTTGTTGATCATACATGTTTCAGTTTTCTACTTTGAATTGAACTGTCATGCCTGGTGTCTAATAAAGGTCCTTTTCTTTCACATTCTTTTAATGTTTATATAGCTAATATTTTTGCCTTGGTTCATGCAGTGGGTCTCTTTTCACAAATTCCAATTGGTTTGCGTTCGAGGAGGATAGAGATCGAGTAGCCAATGAACGCTCTACTGGTTCACTTGCTTCTCCATCTCCTAATGCTGAGGAGGGTATTGTAAAAGCGAGTGGAGATGATATTATTGCTGTTGAAGATGAGGAGTTAGCTGACACTGCAACTTCTTCTCCAGAAGCAGGACTTAAATTAGAACATGTGGGGACCGATAAACCGGTTGAGTGGGTTCAATGGAGGGAATCTTCAGATGCAAATGACCCTTCTGATGTTCTTCCCAACGGACAACTTGGGAACAATGATCCTGCTGCAGCTGAATCATCACCTCCGTCATCCAGTGTTGCATTAACAAAAGATGAGCAGATGGCTACCGACCCGTCAGCGTCTCTCAATAATTTGAGCATTGAAACCTCAGTGCCACCTCAAACAGGAAGTGAAAATCCAAGTTCACGTGAATCCACTTCTGTGGATAGTTCATTCACTGAGGTGGGAGGAGACAATAACAAGGACGTCACAACTGACAACCAAAAAGGAGTCCAATTTGAAAATGAGTAGATAATGTAAATTCCTGCGAACTGGCTTGGGTGGCTAACCATGCATCATTAATCAGGTGGGAAGATACATACTGGAGTCTGGCTGGGCAAGAGCATTTAGAACCTCTCTGCACTCTTTTTTTCCCTTTTTCTTTTTCTTAATAGGAGTATTGAAATTCCATTCCCACCAAAGACTTCTGAAGCTAGAAATTCAGTGTTTGATGAGGCTTTAGTTCATGCTGTTAGATGCTACTGAATTCTTCACCTGTTCATATCAATTGTTTAGCTCACCCAATTAGGTGCTACTAAATTTCCACCTTTTTCTTCTTTAACTGTTCATATAAATACCTCTTTCCGTTCCAAGTGTTTTGGTACAAAAACGGCCTCCTTGCTTGCTTGACTACTACAATCGCCTCAAAGTGACCTTGATGATTTTTTATATATAGGGGGTTCCTTACTCAAGCTCGGGTTACATGGGGTTTTAGCATTGCAAAGCTTCGGATATTTGCTGACATGGAGTTGCACCTGAGAAAGCTTGTTGAAAATTAGAGTGATCCAAAAAAAATGGAGGGAAGGGGGAACGCCTTGTAATTACGAGTTTTTCAGATGAAGATTCGTTACATTGGTACTTTGAACCTTCGGGTTCTGAAACTTGTATTGACTAGTTTCAGTATATTGTATAATAAATTTCTTCCATATTAACTTAGGGGAGACTACCTTGTAAGATTTAATGAGTTGCATTGAATTGTTATGCATTGGAACGTTTTGGTATTTTAGGATTTTGGTTGTTATATTACTCTGAACATGAAAAAGGCTGCAGTAATACCCTCCGGCGTCTTCTGCTGTAAGAATGAGTCGTAAAACCCGAATTCAAGTATTGTGAATTCAAGTATTGTCGCCAAGTAGTGAAACGGTACTATAAAATAAAATCACTTTCGTTTAACTATAAAAGACATGAAAATGACTTGTCGGCGAAAATTTGTGTCTCGAGGAATAAAATTATGAAATAAAAATAATTGTTTTAATGGAATATTTCTAATTAGACAAAAGGAAAAAGAATTATCTTTAATTTTATCATTATGACTTAAGGTTACCATTCTTATAATAGGCAACTATCCTTCATTGTCTTCTATGCATAAAACACTTGGAAATTTTTTTTTTTCGTCTTTAATTATTTAACTCTAAAAAATTGTAATAATAAACCTGTTAATTTGAAGTCAAGTTATTAAAGGTAAGCAAATTTGAATCTTGTTTTGATTTCAGATGAAAAAGAAAGAGAAAAAATGAGATGAAAAAGAAAAGAAAATAATAACATTTGAGATGAAAAAATATTTATTTATAATTAGTCCTTTTTATTAATAGAGTTTAGGGTAATGCATAAAACCTACGTCTTTGAAACGGGAAATGAAAAAGATCTATACTCTATACGTATATGTCGAGATAATCGCAACCTACGTTTTTCTGTGTGTTAAGGTATTCACAAGTAATGCATAAAACCATCGGATTGGATCCTCTCCCGTAGTAAATAACTGAGTGTTTAGTTTATAAACGCTCAACCATTAGATTACCTAAATGGTTACAATCTTGTTACGTGTCACTTTTTTTTTTTTTTTTTATAATTATTTCTTTCATTTTTCTTCGGGACAGTAATCTAATTTTTACAATTTCCTTTTTCCTACAAATGACACGCATATACTGTGGAAGATTGCTTCATGTGGACAAATGTTTAGTTTAAAACCGTTGCCTAATTTGGACGCCCTTACGGGATGGAAAAGCGTGTATCTAAACATGCTGTTCATGCAACAATCTACCGAATCTGGCCTAGTAGACTCTTACGTTCAATAGTGCTATTCTTGGAAGTACGACCTAATTCCTATATTTACTAGCGTATGGGGTTGATGTAACAGGATAGTGAAATGTCATTGTAATTAGGAGGAACAAATTTGGTACACATTAATTGTCAAGTGTTATTTGATACTGTTTCATTGGAAGGTTGAGTCAAGGAAAATTGTACAGGAAATTCTTAATTGGGTTTACGTAAACCTAACCCAAATAGACCTTTTTTGCTTTAAAAACAGGCATAAACCAATAATTTAGCTATAATAATGACTAAAAAATGTTATTGATACAAATAATTAAGATCACGGACAGACGTTCAACTCAACGTTACATTTCGTATGTCAAAATTGAGAAGGCACAATATTCACTGCCTCATCACTCATAACTTAAGAGGAAGAATTGAAACTCCATTCCGAGCTTCAGCGTTACGTCCCCACCTTCCTAGACGAGGTTCCTGCATTGCACACAGATACATCTTAGTCATATAAGAAAAAACCCACTCTAGCACGGTAATATTGCCCACAATTAGATGCATATTCATTGGAGGAAATATGCTAGTTACATCTACACAATCTGTTGCATATAAAGTCGTATAGGTTTAATATCAGGAAAAAAAAATACATATATATATATATATATACACACACACACACATACATACATAGACAGTTCTGGAATTTTTATACTGATATCCCATTACAAACTTACGTATAACCAACATGGTAAAAAGTTATTTACTAGATAAAACTAGTCAATTTCATCATCACTATCAGGGAGAAAAACAATGAAATATCTGTTCATAGAAAACGATTTTAAAGGTCCATCTGCTAATGTGGTTATACATAATAGTTTGTGCACACCGGTAGTGCAGCTAATTTGGACCTAAGAAAACTTTTATCTTATATATTCTGTCATTTTAATCACTTAACATGAGAGAAGTCTCACAATCACGAGCTAAAAGAACGGAACACAATAAATTCACCTATTACCACGAATGAATCATATACATAAGATGGTTAACTTCATATCAATTTCCTTATCATATTAATCCTTAACTAAAGGACCAACTTTCAAAATATAAAGTTGAAATGGTCATATAGTATTTCCATAATAGTATACCAAACAAAAACAAGCAGGACATGGTTTGAGCAAATTTTCACCTGTCCAACTCCAGCAACTAAGAATTCTGCTGATTTTGCAAAAGTCAAGGAATTCACAAACCCAGCCTGTTATACAAAAGGTTTAATTAAACGTAAAATTGTCAGTGGAGTTCTCAACTGCAAATAAAACCGGGTACATATGTATATCCAATACTAGAGAAATGACGAACTGCATGTTTGGATATTCGTTGACTTCAAAATTAAAACTTAATAAATTTTCATGTAAAAGTTCGAAGACTACATACAAATTTACAAGTATATAATAGAAGCTGGTTTCCATGTTCTTTGAGAAAACTTGTGTCACATTGCATGGCACAAATAAGTGAGGTTTGTCGAAGGGGAAAGAGTTCTTCAATTAAGTACAAGGAATTTACAGAAAAAGCTAAATTTAACAGGATCAAGACAAGCAAAGGACTTTTTAAGAGAAGCTATAATCAAGATCTAAGCATCAATTATCAAGGATAAAGTAACTGAATTTAGTTGCTATTCCTTTCACTTACCAATGCCACATTGTGAAGAGATTTAATGTCTTTGGTCTCACTTCCAATTGCCCATAATCGAACAGAACCATTGCCAGCCCCGGAAGCAGCAAGATCACTGTTTCTACAAACAGTTACTGCACTGACCCAAGAGAAAGCTGACAAACAATGATGATTCTCAGGATTATGGTAACCATTTTCTGCAAAGTGATGACAACAGTATGACTTTAGAATCATGGTTAACTATAACTAGCACATGCATTAAAAGTTCAAACATTTGCATTATATGAGTTGAAATAGTTAGGCCAGGAGCAAAATATATGTTCATTGTTCACTTGTGCATACATTAAAGAGTAAATGAATGCAGAATCACAGAGAAACTGAAACAACACTTTCAGAAAACCAGGTAAAAGAAAGAAAAGAAAAAACGTTGCTGTACACATCAGAAGCATTTTTCCTACAACAAAAATAATTTGAACTGAAGGAACTGTCAATATGAACGTTCAAATTTACCTAGGTTGCCATTGGGTAGTCTTTCACTGTCCTTTTGGTCAGATTGCACGCTATCCACTGGTAAAGCATGAGCATTCCTCAAAATGTAAACAGGCTTCTTTCGCATTACAGTCCAAAGCTCAATACTTCCATCATCCGAACCAGACAAGAGTTCATCATTATTAACAAAACAACAGCATTCCAAGGATGAAGCAGGAGCACGAAATACAAGGCGTGATTCTTCATGAACCTACATTAAGGAGAATACACATCAAGAAATGGTCAAAAACAAGTCTAAAAGGGAAATCAGAACAACACAAGAAACAGTTCTTAGCTGATAAAAATTTCCACTTGATCACTTGAAAATTTTCAACACAAAGATTAAAAGGGGAAGGATAGAGCAAAGTAGGAGAAGGGAAGTGATGGTTCATAGCCAAATCTTGAAGAGGTTACCTTAAACAATTGCATGCTACGATCACGTCCAGCAGTTAACCCTCTTTCTTTGCGTAAGCAATCAATACTCAATACTTCACTCTGGTGACCAAATAGAGTATTCATGTAAGTTCTGTCTTCAACATTCCATATCTTAATAGTCCGATCAAATGAACCAGAAAAAAGCTCTGAAGTTCCTTGTCTAAAAGTCAGACTAGAAACAGGGCCTCTATGACCTGGAAAAGCCTGTAAAAAACAAAATTAAGGTCCAATAAAAGCAAAACAAGTCCCAATTCCAAGACCCCAAAAAAATATTAGCTACAAAAAGGCCTATGATTTTGCAAACACGGTGTATACCGTGCAAACAAATCAATCTATCCCCATATACGATCCAGTTTGCATTCAGATCAACTCACTATCCACCACAACGCAACAAATCACAATGAACTTACTCTAAGCATTTTGATAAAGCAACACATACAACAATAGCCACAAAAATTGTAACATAGAAAAAGCAGCAAGGCACACACCCCCTCTTTCACTCCAAGCAAAAACCAAACTAAACAACCAACTACCCTCCTACCAGCACAAATAACCCCCAAAAATACATGTCAGCCACTTTGCACCCTACACTGTCATGACTCACTTAAAAGAACAAAGAAGCACCTGAACATGCTCTCTTGTGCGAGTATCCCATATATGAACATGGCGATCAAGCCCTCCTGTGGCCAAGTACCGAGCATCCGAACTCGCAGCCAAAGCCAAGACATTTTTACTCTGCCTTGTAGCCGAACCTTGCGGATCCTTCAAGCCATGGGACTTCAACACAGAATCACTGGGCCACTTAAACCTATCACATTGCCCACTATTCACATCCCACTGCATAATTACCCCGTCCTTCGACGCCGAAAAGCCCTTCGAATCATCCTCAGACAGAGCCACCGCCGTAACACTCTGCCGGTGCTTCACCAACACCCTAAATCCTCCGTCACCGCTTACTTTCACACTAAAAAACAAACATTTAGGGTTACATTCAAATCAAGACAAAAACACAAACAATTTGTATGCATCTTAATGAAACCTTGAAGCAATGCTTCTTCTGACGCGTCCACTTTCCTCTTGTTGCTCCTTCAACAACTTCTGAGCTACGAGCGAGTCTCTCACTCCCTCGGCATCTTCGTTGTCTTCTTCATCATCTTCGTCGGCTTCCTTTTCCTTCTCCTTCTGCGAGATTTGGCGAACCATTCGGATATAGTCCTGCGCGATTCGCTTGCGCGCCTCGGCGCCGGTTTCTTCCTCGGAGTCCTCATCGGAGGCGGCGGCGAAGAAGCCGTCTTCGTCGAAGTCGCTGTCTATCTCAGCGTCTTGTTCGTCATCATTAGGTTTGCGGCGTTTTCGGGAATCGTTGGCGAAGAATGGGTCAGTGTCTTTCTTCTTACGCGGCATGATTGAGATTGAGATTGAGATTGAGATTGTGAGAATGTGAGTAGGGTTTTTGTTTTCAGAAGGTAGCTAGGGTTTAAGTGTTAGAGAGAACACACACCTTATAGAATCTAAATATTATTTTATTATTTTTATAAACACATTCACACTCATAATTTGGTTTTGCTTTTATTTGAGTAACTCGATATTTACCTCATATTTATATTCGATTTTGTGAGAATAATTTTTATATTTGATTTCATATTTATTTTTATGTATATATATTTTTTTCTTTATATGGAGGTAAATTTCACTCATATATATATATATATATATATATATATTATCTTTAAAATTTAAATATTATTTTTATAATATGGATAAATTGTGAGGATTTTTTTATTAAAGGTTCAGTTGACTCTAAAAGAAAAGATATATAAAATTTTTATTTTGAGCAAAATTTCATAATTTATTGTTCTTAAGAATCTTAGAACGAGAAATTTAGACAGAGAGATTATCTTTAATTTTCCCTTCTTCCTTTTAGGTTCCTTTGGAGTGTGAGAATTGTAATTGAGAGTAACAAATTCGAAGCTTGAGCTATGAATAGAGAGTCATGGGTTGGTGAGGAGCTTGTGAACTTGAAGTTTGGAAACTCATTTGATTTAGGGTTTGAGTTAAGGGAAGCTACGACAAGCTGATTTGGTGATTTGATGAATGATTTGTTGTTTACATCAAATGTGGACTTTCATGTGGTTGAAATTGAATTGAATGGTGTGGGAGATGAGTTTTTGGTGTTTTGAACTACGAAGATATTCTTGGGTGATTTTGAAAGATCGGTGTTGCATGTTGTTATTTGACTTAGATATAAGTTATGAGGTATATAAGTCTGACTTGGTGATGTTGGGTGCCACTGAGGTGACGTCAGACATGAGTTAAGTAAAAACTTTCTTCTTGAGATGAGGTCGGATGTGCATTGTGCCACATCTGGCACGAGGTCCTAAGGGATCTCTACCTTAGTCACGCCTGACACGATTTGAATGGCGTTGAGCGTGAGCAAGATAGAGAGTTTCTTGCCTTGATGACACTGGGTGCAAAGTATGTTGTGTTGGATGTGGGATGCCTGAATGATATGTTGGTGTTTTGGTGAGCTTGTATGATGTATGAGGATTATTCTATATATGCTGATTAAATATGGCATATATCGATGATTATAAGATGAATCTTCTGCATATGTTGATTGGATATGACGTGTTTAAATGTTTGTGTGGTGTTGGATGGTGGTGAGTATATGGATGTTGTACATATGTATGATTTTGAAGAGCATTAATATGTCATATATGAATAATATTATTGATGATCTCTATATGCATTGACTAGATGTGATGTATATAATTAATGTATGGTGAGGTGTAGATGTTGAAAATGCGGTATGCTATTAAGATATGTTGACTAACTTAAGACTTGAGGAGAGAAAAATATTTTGAAAATTAAAGATCCCATATAGGGAATCTTGAAGTGTTGCTCAGGTAGGCAATTCTTAGAAAATCATCCTTGGGTAGGTGTATCTCTATTAGTGAGTTTTTAAGGTGTTTTGAGTCTTTAGTTAGTGATTGAGTAAAGTAGGAGGTCGAATGTTACAACTCTTAACCAAGTACTTGGGAAGGTTGTATGGTTTCTTAAGAATGGCTAGTGGACTAACTCCACATATGACTTGATAATACATGTCAAGGTCGTGGTACGCCTATACCCAATTGTACCACTCCTAATAGTGGAACTAAACTTTCCTATTATAAGTGACCAGACTCGAGAAATCAAAGGAGAGATTTGTGTCTCATTTTATTATGATCAAGTCGATGCTTCGGGTGCAAAAATGATTAGGTTAGTTTGTTAGGATGGAGTCACTTAAACTATTCATTTTAGGAGATTTATGTAAATGAATGTATGACAACACATTGGTTGAAATATTTGCATATGATGTATGTATGTGATGTGATCATGTGCATTTTTGAATGTCTTGTTTGACATGATATGGATGTGATACATGTTTGCTTGGAATGTTAGCTTGCATGTATGTTTTGTTATGATGTTGTAGGTTAAAGAATTGTTTTTTATATTTACATGTTTTCAAACTCTAACTTATCATTTTGTTTATCTTATGGGTGTATTTTAAGTAATTTCTTGCCAATATTTTTCTTTAACTAATATTTATATTTTTTTGGGTATTATTATTATTATTAATATTATTAATTAATGATATGAATATTTGTTGGGTAAATTTTAGACAAAAAAAATAATTTTATCTTAATATAAATACAAGTACAATTCTATTTAGATTGTTTTTAAATATGATACACCATTAATCTTTTTATGATAAAGAAATAACATATTCATTGGAACTAATAAAAATAGTTTAATTAATTAATTTTAATTAATAATAACATTTTAATTTTATTTTAGAAACACCTATAAAATTAAATAGTTTTATTGACACTATTTTCAATTCGAAAGAAAATTATTTTTGACGGAAGTATATGACTTATAGCGTTAATGAAATCTTGACTTTTAAAATATCAAAATTGCTTTAGATCCAGATTTTTCATCAAAATTTAATTGAAATCAAATGAAAAAATATTTTTAATTAGGATTATTTTTGTTAAGAATAAATTAATTTTTTTATGAAATATCAAATTTTAGCTTATCATTTTTTTTTACTTTCACTTTCAAATGATAATGTCATTAGAAATACACTTAGAATGTTATTTTGATGGATATTGGTAAGAAACAATTTTTGAAAGGTAAAATCAGGATGATAAAATGAGTTAGTTCAGTTCATTAGACTTGTTTTATTGTCAGTAGGGTAGGGGTGAGCAAAAAAAACTGAACTGAACTGAACAGGTGATGAACTGAACTGAACTGTACTATAAAAAATTGAACTGTTTGTAAAAAAACTGAACTGAACAGTTTAAAAAAAAAACTGAACTGAACTGAACTATTGAAAAGTTAACTGTATTGAACTATAAAATTAAACTGAATTATAAAAATTGAACTATTTTTATAAAAAGATAAAAATTAAATGTGTCTAACATGTTATGTCTTAATGGATTAACTCGATAGTCTAATAACCAAAACTTTAGGAAAAAAAGTGATAAAAAAAAATTGTATCAATTTTGACGAATTTAACGGATCAATTATACTTATTTTTAGGCTTAAAATTTACTGAGTTTGTTTGACTATTAATTTTATATTTTTTTCTTTGAAAATTTTAAATAAAATGGAAAATAAAGTAATGTTGGCAAATGTGTCCTATTTTGATAGATCAATGAGTTAAAATTGTTCAATTCAAAATATCATAATAGTTCAGTGCAGTTTAAATTGCAATTTAGTTCAAGTTTTTATAGTATAGTTCAGTTCAGTTCAATGACACAAAAAAATAGTTCAGTTCAGTTCGTCTGAACTAATATTTAGTTTAGTTCAGTTCATGAGAACTATTTTTAAGTTCAGTATAGTTTTTATAAGTTCAATCCAGTTCAGTTCATTTTGCCCACCCCTAATTGTCAGCCCTTCAAATACAAATGGTTGGATGCTTTGATTCACCTCACCTAAAGGTGGGTTGGCAGGCAACAAATTAGCTTTCCAAAAAAATTATAAAAAATTTACATATTTATTTTAGGTATCTTTTCTAACATATTTCTTTTTTAATATCTAAAGGACCAATATAAATTAATGTACCTAAATAATAAAATAAATTTTAAATTATAATATAATAATAATAATTATTATTCTTTTAACATATTTACTTTACAAAAAATCTCAAATTACATATAATAAAAAATTAAATACGCAACATATTTGTTACCTTAAAAATCATAAATTAACATATAATAAATCTGACATTACTTATTTAAATTTAACATTAAAAAAATAAAAAATAAAAATTTAGGCAACCGGTAGGCCAACTCGACTTATCATTTGGCTCAACAAGTTAGGCAACTGATGAGACAGATTAGGATGCATAACCTAACTCGCTATTTTTTTATGGGTTGGCCTATGGGTCGAAGTTCGATTTGCCATCTCAAGATGTAATCATGGTGACATTAGCATATAAGGAAGTGTTGACATTGAGTGACACAAAAAATTAATGCATATTAATTTTTTTTACTTGTATATATGTAAGTTTGATTCAAAATATGTTTGTTTGATACTTATAGTGATAGCACAATGTTGACCAAACATTGCCATTATTAACAATAAGTGATAAATAACCATTTGATAATTGGAGAAAACCTTAAGATGAATGCAAAAAATGGTGTGGACAAGGATGACGAGGAAATGTAATATGGAGCAATCAATGTAGTGATGTATGAAAGAATTTGAAGTGATGGTTAATGTTATTGTTGGTGACATTTTATTTTTCTTTATACTAACTAGTAACAGATGCAAATATCATCGTTGTTGTTTATATTAGAAAATCACCACATATCAAAAGCTTTTTGTTATTTGAATTTTTAAGTTTGATTATTTTTGTTTTCCTATTGCATTCACCATTTTTATGATATTGTACAAAGAAAAAGTATGGAAAATGATGGTTACAAAATGAGGCAAAGACAATGAATAATTGATGCGAGCTAGTGAGATGTAATGATTTCAAATAAGTGTATCAACAAGCTTGAAGCTATTTTTTTTAAATAACAAATGACAATTGTTTGCTATCTACTACTTAAGAAGAGATAATTCATAACAATAAATATCATTCTATAAAAAAGTTATAATATCATAGAAGACTTAGTTTTGTCTTTACCAATGAACTAAAAGATGTTATGATTAATTATCTATTAACCAAATTGTCACAAAATCTAAATATTGTATAACCTAGATAAGATATTCATTATATTCTCATATGATTTGCCTTCTATGAATTACATGTCCAAATTAGAAAGCATGGAAGAACAACATTTTAGTATGGTGTCTCTAATGCCTAATGGAGAAGATATATAATCAGTTGTGGAAAACAATAATAGTGAACAACTTACGAAAAAATCTCCTACATGGGATGAAATTTTGATCATAATAAGGAAAGGAAAATTTTAAGATCATATGAAGTATTAGAATCACACATTAGGTCATTTATTTTCTTTGGAGGGTGTATTTGGACAAATTACCAACAAAACAAAATCTCAATAACATGGGAGTGTAACTATCAAATAATGACAACATGTGTTCTTGGTTTTTTGAACAAATGAAATCAATTTCTCATATAATGCTGACATGTGGAAGGGTAAGTAATATTTGGCAAATTTGTTACAATTGGTTGTATGTCCAAACTATGTTATTAAGATTTGTTATTGCACATTTTAGACAACATCCACTAGTGCAAAAAAGAGTATTTACGTCACCCAATTTACGTCGCAAACCACAAACACCGACGTTGTAAAAACGCGGTGGCAGTTTCGTAAATAAGTGGAGACTAATTTATGTCGGACCTCTCGTAGACCGACGTAAATTAGGTAATTTACGTCGGGTACCTCTATTCCGACGTAAATTTACGTCGGTCCCCTTTAGTCCGACGTAAATTTACGTCGGTCCCACCCACGTCCGACGTAAATTTACGTCAGAGTCCACCAAGGCCGACGTAAATTTACGTCGGCGAAGCCTTATCCGACGTAATAGTTCTCCTATATTGCCCCCAAAGTCCCATTTTCATTCCCGCGCTCACAGTTTATACGAAATCCTCTGAATTACTTGAGTCTCCCACTGCGTTTACTCACAGTTTATACGAAACCCTCTGAATTACTTGAGTCTCCCACTGCGTTTACGGCTACATTCAACGTATCCAAGTTTGTAAGTGTCAGCACGTTGGTCGTTTGAGGTTAGTTTTTTGTCCCCGTAATTTATTTGTTTTTTTTTTGCTATTTGTTCCTCTGGAATGGCCCGTTCTGCAAGGAGAACGGGTTGTTCTCCTTGCAGAACGGACCGTTCTCCTTGCAGAACGGGCAAATCTAATGTTTGAAATGCTTTGTACTTTGATTTTTTTCACGAAATTCTGGAACTAGAACGACCCGTTCTGAAACTAGAACGGCCCGTTCTGGTTACACTGTTGGTGTGTTAATTTTGCATCTAGAACGGTCCGTTCCAGGTACAAAATTTACACACCAATAGTGTAACCAGAATGGGCCATTCTGGTTTCAGAACGAGCCGTTCTGGTTCCAGGTGTATTCAAGTATTTTGGGATCCACTTACGTGGCATCTACGTGGCATCCACCTGACATCCACGTGGCCACCAGTTAACTCCGTTTAAATCATTTAGACGGAAGTCCCAAATTGCAATGATTTAATATATTGAGGACCAAATTGAGACCTAAAATTAAAGTGAGACTAAATTGAAACAAAAAAAATATTATAAGGGACCAAAAGAGGTTTTTAACCCATCAAATATGCATTTTCATTTTCACGAACTTAATAATCGAACAGTAAATTACATACTTAAAAAATAATCATCTGTTAATCATATTTAGCTAGAGTGATTAAACAGACCAATTCAATAAATCGAATTTCACAAAATAACCTAATTAAAAAGTTGGATTCATTTGACTTTGACCAGTGAATTAATAGTTTTCAATCCCGGAACTAATTTTGAAACATATTTGATTTTGGTTTTTTTAAAATTTAAATAAAAAATAAAATAAAATAAGTTAATTTGATCTAACTAGATGTAGTTAGAAAATAAACTCTCCATAGATCATTAAAGACGGGCTATATGAGAATGAGAGGAAGCCACTTACAAGTTACAAGTATTGGTATGGTAGTAACATGATAGATGCTAGTTATTAAAAGAAAAAATGTTTAATGTAGGTATAATCAGAAAATAATAACTCGTGAATCCAAATTAATTTAATAAATTTAGATCAATTTTTTTAGTGTTTGAATCAAACTCAACACAACTCAATCAAAATCTAATAATATATGGATTGGGTACGAATTTTGTATTTTCAACCTGTTATTAACCTGACCCAATCCAAAAATAATAATAATAGTGTTTAAATAATCATTTGTTCAGAATAATACTCACTGTCACCCTTACTAAATAACAAATTTTATGTTTTAAATTAATAACATTGTAATAATATAATATATTTATTTAAAATTATATTTTATATTAATTAATATTAATTTTTTGAATTAATAATAATATAACATATTAATTAATTTATTTTAGAATTTAATTTGTATCATTGAATTTGTAGAAATATATCAAATGATTTACATATATTTTAAAATATTTAAAATTTAAAAATATATAATTATATTAATTCAATTAATCCAATTCATAATTGAGTCAGATTAGATTGAATTAATTATTTTTTTTAATTATATAAATTTAACTTAATTTAATCTATTAAATTTTAATTGAATCCGATAAAGAAGTGTAATCCCATCCACTTTAACCCATAGATTAAAGTTTGTGAGAGAGACATAGATAAAAAAAAAACCCAAGTTAGGCATAATGTGTCACGTGTGTGGCATGGTCTAAAGTTTTCCAAGCAGTAGACGTATGTGAGTTGTGAGGCAGCCTTGTTGAACGGGCGTTACTTCTAAGCCCTGATTTCGATGCACCATCACTCACCCAACCACCAACCATTTTCATTTTCTTTTCCTCGGGAATGTGGAATCAAGCTTACAAAATTAAGAGCACATTTGATATTTGATTTGCTACTTGGATGATGTCTATGTTTCAAACAAAAGAAAATACATATTATAAAGCCATGGCTAGCTTGAGGTGACTGACAGGTTACCGGCTTCAGGTGGAAGTGTGGCTGCAACGGCAGAGGACAGGCGCGTGCCAAGTGACCGGGGACGGGGACACCCGGTTGGTGCCACTTCCTCTGCTCTGCGGCTGTGTGGGATGGTCCGGCAGATAACACACATTCACCTCGATAACCCAAAAACCCTGCACGCCCTCGCTTTTGCACCTTCCCTTGTTCCACATTTTTTTTTTATTTTTTT